GCCTGTGCGGTGAGACCTCACAGTCTCACCTCATATAGAACAGGGGCCTTTGGGCAGCTGGAAATATTTAGCGATGTGTCTAAACGTTGTTGCACAGCGGCCCTGCCGTTGGGCTTGTTCGGCCACGACTGTGGGGAGAGAGGTTTGCGCAGATGAAAAGCCTGGACTCATGTGTGATAGGGTGGATGGTACCCTGGGGTATACAGCAGCCAAAGGTGCAAGGCCTTGGCTGGGAGCATGGGCCTCCCGTCTGATTCCTGAGCTGGGAGGTGTGAGCAGACGGAGGGCCTGGGCCACTTGCTCCATTGTTCCTGGTTTCCGGGTCTCTAGGGGCACTAGGTCTGTGAAAACAGAAGGAGGGAGTCAGAGCCTCTTTCTGATGCTCCTTGGAGTACTGTGTTTTCTTTTTTTTTTTTTCAATGCTTACCTGCTCATTGACTTCATTTTCTGAGTAAATTGTTGCAAGGTATTATTCATAAAAGTGATAGAACATATACCAAATACAATATATTACATATTATTGTTGGGAAAATGAAGATAAAGATATGTGTTTATTTAGCAGGAAGTTATAGTCTAGTTAACAAAGTTTGTATTCAGACTGTGTATGTTTCCATCAAACTGTGACCTACATTATCTTGCCTCTTAAGTTATTGAATTTTACATGTGTATATTCATGTATATATGTATATATGTATATACATCTTGCCTGGAGAATCCCAGGGAAAAAGGAACCTGGCAAACTACAGCCCATAGTGTCACATAGACTCAGACACAACTGAAGTGACTTAGCATGCACAAACATACATACATATGCTGCAAGTATGTTTGTACATGTGGTAAATAAGTGAATATATGTGTTGTTGTTGCTGTTGTTTGCATTTAACCTGAATAAAGAGGGTACCTTGTGTCATCTCATTTCATAGGATTTTTTAAGAGAGATTGACATAAATGTTCAACATTTCTTTAATTTTTACAGATTAAATAATTTTTCTTTTCATAGAATAGTATTATATGAATGCCATGCCATTATCTAACTTCTGTCTGTGAGCTTGAGGATAATAAACTGTGAATGGCTACAACATCTTATTGGACCTCTGGACTTTCAGAAAATGTGTTTTCTTAGATGTTGACTCCATACACCATTGTCCGCACTCCACCGTGTCAATGCCTGTGAACAAAATGCTCTGTGTTTATCCGATTGTGAGAATGGAAAATAACCTTCTTGCCCTAATCAAGGGTTTTCCTCCCAGGACTGATGTGCATTGATATTTTATCTCATTTTCTCAGCAGATCTTCTCCTTCCCATGTTACGGATGAGAAAATAGAGGGATCCCAAACCTCCCTACAGGGTTCTGAGTTTGCCTGGGTCACAAGCAAGGAGCCTTCCTGATGGGGGTCAGAGTAGAAAGGGGGGGACTCAAGTTGGGCTTCCCCAGGGTGGCCCTCCCCCTCCCCTCTCTTTCTTTCACCTCCCCTCCCCTTCCCACTTCAGGGTCTTGAAGCAGTTGCCCCTCTTTGGATCTGAAGTAACTTTTCCATTTGAGAGCAATCCCTCATCTCACAGCCCCATCACAGGGACTTATCTCTCTCACCATCAGCTGCCGTGTCCCCCGAAGCATATAAAGTGTAGGCTGGAGTGAGGGATCGAGTTGAATTATGTGACCTGCAGTTTACGGTGGGGGCCCACCGGACATCCGATCCCATGTCTAAGCTCAGTTACCACAGCTCCGGCCCTTGTTGATTAGACTTTCCTGAAAAGGGGGAAGTTTTTGAGGGTGAGGATGCTGAGGAGGAGGGGGGCCAGGAGAGCTGTGAGCACCCTGTGGCAGCTTGTCCTGGGCATGTTTTCCGTCTCTGCGGTCTCATCACGGCTCAGACCCCCAAACAGCCCAGGTGGTGTTGGGAGTGCTTGGTGGAGGAATGAAGTGAGACGGAGCCCACTGGGGGCTGTTTCGACATGCCAGGGAACTTGGGGTTAGGGACAGGAGGTATCTCCTCCCCTCTAGCCTGAACCCAAGCCATGTTCATCTGGCTGAGTCAGCAGGAACTAGAATGTAAAAGGATTTTCAACTGGGGCAGTGAAACCAAAGGTATTTCCTAGGCTCACAAACCTCTCATGCTATTAAATAAACTGGAGGATTCTGCTTGGGCCCTGAGCTTGTTCTTTATTAGAGCTGCCATGGTCCAGCTGTCTGGCAAACAAAGCAATGTTCTGTTTTCTTAGGCATATGATATAGGAATATTCGCAGAACCCTGAGACATGCCAGTCTGGCCAGAGTCCTTTCCAAGGGTCCTTGCAGCCTGAGACTCTGGTTCTGGGAATCCTAGGGTGCATTCAGCCAACATGGAAAGATCTGGGGAACTCGGAAAACTTCGATAACCAGGGGTTAAGGAAAGAAACAACTTAAAGCCAGGCCCACAGTAGGGTCTCAATAAACATCTGTTGAGTGAATGACTTTGAATAGGAATCAAATGACTTTGATAGGAATCAAAAGACCCAGATCCTGGCACTGGTTCTGATATTTGAGAACTGTTTTTAAATAAAACATGGAACTTTTGAGCCTCAGTTTCCTCTTCTGTTAAAGGACTTGTAAATAACCTATTCCGGTCACCTCTGAGGGTTGCTTTGAGGATCAAAGAATGTGCATTAGGTCCTGCAAGGCCTTCATGCAGGCACCCAGATTGCTGTCTTCATTTTGTTCTCAAAAGCTCCCCTTGTTAAGCATCCATGACCTTTGTTCACACAAAGGCACTTTCTCAGCCTGGTTTCTGTTCCAGCCAGTGCTGGAATGATGTAGGGCAGTCTTTCTTGTCAACCTTTTTACTGCTCTTTGGGGTGTGTGTGTGTGTGTGTGTGTGTGTGTGTGTGTGAGATAGGGGTGTGAGATGTACGTTTGTGTGAAGAGTATGCATGTGTGTGTGTTATGCGTATGTGTGTGATATGAGTATGTGCATGTGTGTGATGTGTATATGAGTATGGTATGTGTGCAGAATACATGATGTGTGTATGCATCTGTGTGTGATGTGGCTGTGTGTGTATGGGTGTTTACGTGAGACGTGAGTGAGAGTGTGATAAGTGCGAAGGTGTGATGTGTGTGTGTGATGTGCGGTATGTATGATGTGTGTGTATGATGTGTGTGCATATGTGGTGTAAGTGGGGATGGGATATAGTCTGATTCTAGGAAAGTCCTTCATTCTTAGGATCTTGGCTCCTTTCCACGTTTATCTTTTTCACCTGAGACTCTCAGGTCTCTTGTGTAGCCCCAGGCAGCCATGTCTCTTTCTATAGCACCCCTTGCTTCCAGTAAGCTCAAATTGGCTTCAGCTCTCCAGGAAGGCAGAGCTGCTACTCTTTGGGTTATTACCTTGTTGGTAGTAACAAACTAATGATAGTTCATTTTGTTTTGGAACTTCCCACTTAGAAACTGTTTCTCAATAATATAATTGCTGCCAATGTCAGAGTCACCATGGTGAGCACTTTACATGCCATAGATAAAAGACACTCACTAAGACAAAAAGTGGCATTGATGAGGAAAGGCAAGGTTTATAATATGTAAAGAGCTCTTACAAATCAATATAAGCTAAGTGTTCCAAAAGACAAAGTAGATGGACTTAAAACTTAGCAATTTGCAAAAGAATAATTATACAAATCTCATGACTCCTCTCCACAGGCCAGTCTCCCTCTTATGCATGAGGAAACTGAGGCCAGGAGAGGTTAAATCAAGTACACAACTAATGGTCCAGAGCAGGACTATGAACCCATAAGGGTTCAGAACCCTAGCAAACATTATTAGTATTCTCATTTTATAGATGAGAAAGCTAAAGGGCTGTCTGTGTATGTCTGAATCCACACTAATTAAAGGTGTGATTGCCTGCTTTTGCTATCTGCTTAGCTAACTTGCTTGCTGACTGAGGAAGTGATGGGTATATGAATCTAGGAACTGGAATCAGGGTTTGGAGTATGCGAGGGTTGAGGGCGCCTGGGCAGGCTTAATGTTAAAATGGTCAATTAACAGTGTGGGTCCTGCCTTGCCAGGTCACCCAGCTGCTGGCTGGCCGAGCCAAGCCTCTGACCCAAGGCATCTGGACGTAGACCTGTGCTATCCGTGCTGTGCCCTGTGACCCAGCCTTCCACCGGCTCTGGTCTCTGCTCATGGCCACAGCTGCACCCACATATGGCACGGAAGACCAAGTGAAAGGTAAGTACAGCCGGATTTTTGCAGCCTGCTGAGCTGTGGTTGATACCTAACCTGGAGAAATCATTGATTCTTTGACTCAGAAATTAGCATATAAGTTCAGAAACCTAATAGCTAAAAACAGTCTCTAGTCAACCTAATAAGTTTTCCTTGTTTCTATTCATAATCTGGAACTTCCCACTTAGAAACTGTTTCTCAATAATATAATTGCTGCCAATGTCAGAGTCACCATGGTGAGCACTTTACATGCCATAGATAAAAGACACTCACTAAGACAAAAAGTGGCATTGATGAGGAAAGGCAAGGTTTATAATATGTAAAGAGCTCTTACAAATCAATATAAGCTAAGTGTTCCAAAAGACAAAGTAGATGGACTTAAAACTTAGCAATTTGCAAAAGAATAATTATACAAATCTCATGACTCCTCTCCACAGGCCAGTCTCCCTCTTATGGATGAGGAAACTGAGGCCAGGAGAGGTTAAATCAAGTACACAACTAATGGTCCAGAGCAGGACTATGAACCCATAAGGGTTCAGAACCCTAGCAAACATTATTAGTATTCTCATTTTATAGATGAGAAAGCTAAAGGGCTGTCTGTGTATGTCTGAATCCACACTAATTAAAGGTGTGATTGCCTGCTTTTGCTATCTGCTTAGCTAACTTGCTTGCTGACTGAGGAAGTGATGGGTATATGAATCTAGGAACTGGAATCAGGGTTTGGAGTATGCGAGGGTTGAGGGCGCCTGGGCAGGCTTAATGTTAAAATGGTCAATTAACAGTGTGGGTCCTGCCTTGCCAGGTCACCCGGCTGCTGGCTGGCCGAGCCAAGCCTCTGACCCAAGGCATCTGGACGTAGACCTGTGCTATCCGTGCTGTGCCCTGTGACCCAGCCTTCCACCGGCTCTGGTCTCTGCTCATGGCCACAGCTGCACCCACATATGGCACGGAAGACCAAGTGAAAGGTAAGTACAGCCGGATTTTTGCAGCCTGCTGAGCTGTGGTTGATACCTAACCTGGAGAAATCATTGATTCTTTGACTCAGAAATTAGCATATAAGTTCAGAAACCTAATAGCTAAAAACAGTCTCTAGTCAACCTAATAAGTTTTCCTTGTTTCTATTCATAATCTAAAGTGACCTGGCTGGCTGGCTGGGATTGGGGCTGAGACCAGGGCCCCATCTTTATGTAATACATGTTTGCTACCAGTTGCTGAGGGAGCCTTCCTGTCTGTATTGTTAATATGATAGAGGCCTTTGGTTTCCAGTATCATCTCTTTGGAATTTCTGTCTCAGACCCTGTGCAAATGAACATAATCCCTGGCAGGAAGGGCGTTTCAAAGTCCTGGCATCAGGCTTGTGGCCTCTGATTTTCACGTGAGGAATGCCAGATGGTGTTGGTCTTTCATAGGGCCTGGGTTTTACTCTGGAGGCTTCGGGTGTTCTTGCTGGGAAGGAGTAGGCTGCTGGCTCATGAAGGCTGTCATCCAGGACTTTCCCAAGAGAGAGGATACAGAACAATTTTCTAAATGTCTCAGGATAACTAGAGACATTTAGGATAACCCACTTTCCAAGTTTTTAATGAGCAGGACACATATTTAGTCTTTTTTTTAAAGATATTTATTTATTTGGCTCCATCAAGTCTTAGCTGCAGTGCATGACCTTAGTTGCTCTGTGGCACGTGGGACCTTATTTCCTCGACCAGGGATCAAACACAAATCCCCTGCATTGACAGGCAGATTCCCAACCACTGGGCCGCCAGGGAAGTCCCAACATATCTACTCTTTAAATGATTTGGTGCTGTACTTCCTACACTTTCTCTAACCATACCACATGTAGAACAGAATATTGTTGAACAGAATATTTCTAAGGAAAGTAGACAAGGCTACTTCTAGCCAGAGGAAGCTACTAGTCCAGGGGCTCTGGCTGCCCCAGTACCTGGGGGCTTATGTATCTCAGTCGACCTGTAACCAACCAAGACCTGCCAAAGTGCACCAACCAAGTGGCTGGGAAGCTCTGATAGGAGTACACAGATTGGGCTCATTGAAGACTGTCAGACTGCCATTCATTTATTTTACATTTGCCCCTTAAACACTATTGATCAACTGTCCTTCATCAGGCACCAGGTGCTGTGGATGGATACTGGGAGGGGCAAAAGCAGATACACGTCATCCCTGGCCTCGTGGAACTGATGAAGACATGGAGCATACAGGTAAGTGGTCTGTCACTGACTAGCTAAGTGGCCTTGGACAAGTCACTTAACCTCTCTGAACTTCACTTTCTTCACCTGTCCAATGAGAATGAGAAGCATGTGCCTTGTGGGATTATTGTGAGGATGGAACAAGATCATATTTATTAAACAGCCTTGCTCAATGACCAGCTAGCAGGGAGTACTTCATAAGTGGGGATGCACTTGCTACAAGGTGAAAGGTTGGTATAGGGTTATTAGATTATTATTCCCCGTCTCGTACTCTATACTGCCTGATGATATTTTACAGTGGTTTCCCCAAGAAAGGGAAGGTGCATAGAATCATTTGGGTGGGGTGGGAAAAGGGAGGAGTGTTTAGTGTTAGTAGCTCAGTCGTGTCTGACTCTTTGCCACCCCATGGACTGTAGCCCACCAGGCTCCTCTGTCCATGAGATTCCAGGCAAGAAAAGAAGAGAGGGATATTGCTAAATGTACTGATCATCTTTTCCCCTTCCTAGAAAATTGTGGGGAAAGTAGACTGCTGCTGACACCTAGAAGGTATTGGTCCAAGGTCTCTGAGCTAGACTGGGCTTGCAGAATGTATAATTTTCTTAACTTCCCAGGTGGTTTGGATGCAGAGCAACTTTGAGAAACACTGGTACGGTTGACACTCTAGAAGAGTGATTTTCCTGTCTCTATCCTCTTGTCTCGGGTCACAAGGGTACACAGTCATAGGTCCTCTGCCAGTCATGTGGGAGGCACTTACTGACCCCAGACCCAGTCAATTGGATAAGGGGGTACGCATCTGGCTGAAATCTGGACAATCAGAATTCCTTACCCACGAATCTGGAATAAGGACCAAGAGATTTCATTCTTGGCTGACACTTTCAAACAAAAAAGAAATATAAATTTTGGACCAGCACGGAGGCTTCTCCCCACTATGTGGACCGAGTTAGCAGAGAGATAGTGGAGTCATTGGGAGAGGAAAAAAGGAATAACCCCTGGGTTCCCCATGGATCTTCATTTTCTGATTCCAGTCTGCTCCTTAGGTTTAATTGCTCTTGCCCTCAGGTTCTGTGAACCTATGCTTGTATATTTAACGTAAGGTGGTTTCTGTTTCTTGCAACCAAAATAGTTCTCTTTAATAAAAGAACTGTTAATAAAAGGGAGACTTATTTATTTTGCTATGAAGAAAGGAGAGGATTTGGAGAATTTGAAGAGGGTCTGAGCCAGGGGTATAGAATTTATTTAGTCACATTTAGGGTATTAAGTCTCATGTCATCTGACTTCATGGCGTAGTCTCAACCTTAGGGCTTCCTCGGTGGCTCAGATGGTAAGGAATCTGCCTGCAGTGCAGGAGACCCAAGTTTGATCCCTGGGTCAGGAAGATCCCCTGAAGAAGGAAATGGCTACCCACTCCAGTATTCTTGCCTGGAGATTTCCATGGACAGAGGAGCCGGATGGGCTACAGTCCATGAGGTCACAGAGAGTCGGACATGACTGAGTGACTAACACACACACGCAGTCTTAACCTTGAACCAGAAGCGTTTACCATCTGCACCTTCAGTTCAGTTCAGTCCGTCAGTCATGTCCGACTCTTTGCAACCCCATGGGCTGTGGCACGCCAGGCCTCCCTGTCTGTGGCCAACTCCCAGAGTTTACTCAAGCTCATGTCCATTGAGTCGGTGATGCCATCTCACCATTTCATCCTCTGTTGACCCCTTCTCCTCTTGCCCTCAATCTTTCCCAGAATTGGGGTCTTTTCCAGTGAGTCAGTTCTGTGCATCAGGTGGCCAAAGTATTGGAGATTCAGCTTCAGCATCAGTTCTTCCAATGAATATTCAGGACTGATTTCCTTTAGGATGGACTGGTAGGATCTCCTTGCAGTCCAAGGGACTCTCAAGAGTCTTCTCCAACACCACAGTTCAAAAGCATCAATTCTTCAGTGCTCAGCCTTCTTTATAGTCCAACTCTCACATCCATATATGACCACTGGAAAAACCATAACTGACTAGATGGACCTTGTGTCTGCTCCTTATACCTGAGAAATTGAATGTTCTCTCAATTTCGTCTGGTCCTGCAACCTGGAGCATTAATGATGACGATGATTTCCATTTGTATGTTTGCCTTATAGTTTACAAAGCCTAGGTCACCTTTGTAGGATACCACAAACACAGTTGTTTAATTTGTTGATTCTGTGCATTGACTGTTCTGAGCTATGGGTCACATGCTATTTAAAACTTTATTTTAGTTCACAGAGGGCTCCTGCTAGAAACTTTATAAGCAGTACTTTTCTCCTGTGTGGTGATATCACCAAAGAAAATGGTTTAAGTTAGGAAAGTAGGTTGTTCCAATTGGCAGTGGAGGAAGAAGCAATGGATGATGGGGGTAGGAAGTGGGCTTACATACCTGGAAATCATTAAGAACAAAAGTGATATGATCAAGACATATGCTTATCTTGTCAGGCTGAAGCCCTGACTTTTGGGTCCTTTTCCAGCCCTGGATTTTTATGTTACTAAATATGTTACTAATATGTGAGGTCATCAGGTGAGAACACAGACTCAGTGCCTATCTCTGTGACCAGGTTACACTGCAGTGGCCTGATTTGGGTTCCTATTCTCAATGAGCTGTTTCCTCATCTGTAAAATGGGTTGATCATATTTCTGGTGTATTAGTTAAGGTCCTCCAGAGAAATAGAACCAACAGAAATATCTGTATTTCTGAGAGAAGGGAGAGGAGAGGGAGACTGACTTTACAGAATTGGTCCATGTGATTGTAGAGGCTTGGCAAGTCCAAAATCTGCAGGGTAGGCTGGCAGGCTGAAAACTCAGGGAAGAGTTGCTGCCTGAGTCCAGATGCGGTCAGCTGGCAGAATTCCTTCTTGCTCAGGGATGGTCAGACTTTGTTCTATATTCAGGCCTTTAACTGATTGGATGAGGCCCACCACATTATGGAGAGTAATCTGCTCACTCCAAGTTGACTGATTCAAATAGTAATCTCATCCAATAAACTACCTTCACAGAAACATCCAGAATAATGTTTGATCAAATAGCTGGTCTCTATAGCCCAGCCAAGTTAATTTGAAAATAAACCCTTGTCACATCTGGTCGCATGGGACAGGACAGAAGGTTTAACTGTGAGAAGTGTTTTATGAGCGATAAATTGCTCTATACTGCCAAGAGAGAGGGAAGCTCTGTGGGTTCTGCCCTCCACCCCAAGTGAGAGTGTCCTGGCACGCAGAGGGTTAAGGGGCCCCTGCCTCTGCTGTTCTTCCACCTGCTGTCTGAACTGTCACTATCCCCTCCCTGACCCTCAGGTGAGGAGGGACTGAAATGGGGGCTGAAGTCGTCTGACATCTGATACTTCCTTCCTGCCTGGATTAGAGTCATATTGTCAATATCATGCCAGTGTTTACCAAATTAATGGACTGGTAGGATCTCCTTGCAGTCCAAGGGACTCTCAAGAGTCTTCTCCAACACCACAGTTCAAAAGCATCAATTCTTCAGTGCTCAGCCTTCTTTATAGTCCAACTCTCACATCCATATATGACCACTGGAAAAACCATAACTGACTAGATGGACCTTGTGTCTGCTCCTTATACCTGAGAAATTGAATGTTCTCTCAATTTCATCTGGTCCTGCAACCTGGAGCATTAATGATGACGATGATTTCCATTTGTATGTTTGCCTTATAGTTTACAAAGCCTAGGTCACCTTTGTAGGATACCACAAACACAGTTGTTTAATTTGTTGATTCTGTGCATTGACTGTTCTGAGCTATGGGTCACATGCTATTTAAAACTTTATTTTAGTTCACAGAGGGCTCCTGCTAGAAACTTTATAAGCAGTACTTTTCTCCTGTGTGGTGATATCACCAAAGAAAATGGTTTAAGTTAGGAAAGTAGGTTGTTCCAATTGGCAGTGGAGGAAGAAGCAATGGATGATGGGGGTAGGAAGTGGGCTTACATACCTGGAAATCATTAAGAACAAAAGTGATATGATCAAGACATATGCTTATCTTGTCAGGCTGAAGCCCTGACTTTTGGGTCCTTTTCCAGCCCTGGATTTTTATGTTACTAAATATGTTACTAATATGTGAGGTCATCAGGTGAGAACACAGACTCAGTGCCTATCTCTGTGACCAGGTTACACTGCAGTGGCCTGATTTGGGTTCCTATTCTCAATGAGCTGTTTCCTCATCTGTAAAATGGGTTGATCATATTTCTGGTGTATTAGTTAAGGTCCTCCAGAGAAATAGAACCAACAGAAATATCTGTATTTCTGAGAGAAGGGAGAGGAGAGAGAGACTGACTTTACAGAATTGGTCCATGTGATTGTAGAGGCTTGGCAAGTCCAAAATCTGCAGGGTAGGCTGGCAGGCTGAAAACTCAGGGAAGAGTTGCTGCCTGAGTCCAGATGCGGTCAGCTGGCAGAATTCCTTCTTGCTCAGGGATGGTCAGACTTTGTTCTATATTCAGGCCTTTAACTGATTGGATGAGGCCCACCACATTATGGAGAGTAATCTGCTCACTCCAAGTTGACTGATTCAAATAGTAATCTCATCCAATAAACTACCTTCACAGAAACATCCAGAATAATGTTTGATCAAATAGCTGGTCTCTATAGCCCAGCCAAGTTAATTTGAAAATAAACCCTTGTCACATCTGGTCGCATGGGACAGGACAGAAGGTTTAACTGTGAGAAGTGTTTTATGAGCGATAAATTGCTCTATACTGCCAAGAGAGAGGGAAGCTCTGTGGGTTCTGCCCTCCACCCCAAGTGAGAGTGTCCTGGCACGCAGAGGGTTAAGGGGCCCCTGCCTCTGCTGTTCTTCCACCTGCTGTCTGAACTGTCACTATCCCCTCCCTGACCCTCAGGTGAGGAGGGACTGAAATGGGGGCTGAAGTCGTCTGACATCTGATACTTCCTTCCTGCCTGGATTAGAGTCATATTGTCAATATCATGCCAGTGTTTACCAAATTAACAAATGGACTTCAAGTTAAACACTGAACAATTTGTGAGATG